ATCTTGGGCTTATTGATGGTGTTCAGCACCATCAGGTCAGTGTATGCATGTCCCTCATCCCAGCAAGTTATTGATGTTAATGACTGTACTACAAACTTTTTTAAGCAACAATAAATCTATTAGAAGCATCAGTATTTTTCCCTAATAAGTAATGTTAACTTCAAGGTATACCAGAGACCATTCGGAATTAAAATTACAGAATTAATGCAATGAACGTGACCCTACCAAGCTAGAGAGAGGTGGCACGAGCCCGGAGGAGCCCTGCAGTGGGGCAGGCAGGAATTGCCTCTTGCAGAATTATTAGCTGTAAATTTCCTGATGCGTCTTATTATAATAAAGGAGACAATGCCTAGTTTAAAAGCAACTCAAGCCCTTAAAGAGAGAAGAACTGTGATTTTCTATTCCTAAGCCCTGCAGGACTAGTAAGCAAATGCTCATTTGCTTCTCCAAGCCATGGGGCACCCCCAGATCCATCGGTGGTTTCCTCTGCCTGTCCCAGGTGGATCAAGCCACTGCAGGACACCAACGGCAGCCGCGGTCTCTGGCCCAAGGCGTGCCGAGCCCTTTGCCCTGCCAGGCTGCGCGGGGCTGGGATTTGGGGAACCAATGCAGGGAAGCATTACTTAGCCAAAGTATTTTTAATTTGTAAGGAAATTGGCTTCTTTTCCCAGCAGGAGATAGGATCTTTAAATGCACCCGCCGGAAGATTGTATTTTTCTAATTGTCTTTATTGGTGGCTTTTTTTCTGACATTATGCTCAATACATCGCTGCCACGGGGATGCTCCATGCCCGGCTCAGGGCAGGTTGGGGCGATACCTGCGGCACTGCCGGACCTGGGCAGGCACATGGGCTGGGCACAGAGGGCACCGAAACCACCTAAGATGGTTTCTCAGCATCTTCGGTCCCGGCAACTCTCATCCCCCAAAAGCTGCTGAAAGTGCAGGTGGGCTCAGCCCTGGCTCCCATGGGTGTCCCTGAGGCCATGGGGCATCCAGACTCTTCGGCACAGGCGTGAGCTGTAACCCTGACCCTTAACCTCCTGGGCGCTCTTGTGCCATGCAATACGTTTTTTCATGCAGGAAATGAGAGAAAAAACACCAGTTTCCTCTTTTACTCCCACGACAGCACTTGCCCCAGCTGTGGGGGCTGCAGGAGGCAGCTGGCAGCACCCTGGTTATTTCGCAGCCAGGGCCACCCTCCTTTGTGCCGGTGAGGCGGGTGCCGGGAGCCTCGCCGGGCCTCGGGGGAGCAGTGGGGTGTGGAATTTCAGGGTGCAGAGGCTGGGAACCGGCCCAGGGCCCTTTTCTCCAGCAGATGGAGGCATTGCTTTGCTTCCACTACCCCGCGGGTCCCCAGTCCCCAGCCCAGTCCCGTGCTGGGAAAGCCGGGACTGGGGGCTGGCATGGGACAGGCCAGCCGCTGAGCCCGGGAGGAGGGCAATGAGGGGTTTTGGGGAGGGGTAGCAGCCCCTTTGGTGGGGGAGGAGGGAAATGAGGGGTTTTGGGGAGGTGTAGCAGCCCCTTTGCTGGGGACACAAGGACAGAATGTCCCCAGCAAGGTGGGCAAGGGGACACTGGGCGGGCTGAGCGCCTCATGGGGGCAGCAATGGCAGCTTGGCCAAGGGCAGGGACGGCCTCGCGTGGGGCCAGGGTGTCCCCTGGGGTTGGCGGGACCAGAGGGTCACTTCAGTCTGAGGGGTTTTGGGGAGGTGTAGCAGCCCCTTTGCTGGGGACACAAGGACAGAATGTCCCCAGCAAGGTGGGCAAGGGGACACTGGGCGGGCTGAGCGCCTCATGGGGGCAGCAATGGCAGCTTGGCCAAGGGCAGGGACGGCCTCGCGTGGGGCCAGGGTGTCCCCTGGGGTTGGCGGGACCAGAGGGTCACTTCAGTCTTCTTTTAGAAGTGGGACACCCCCCCCCCAGTGCCGCTGGCTCCTGCCCCTTGGCCCTGATGCAGCGCTGCTCCATGCCTCAGTTTCCCCAGCCAGAGAGCTGCAGCGCAGACCCCCAGTGCCCGTTCCCCAGTCTCGCCGGAGGGGTTTGGCTCTGTGTGCGTGTACGTGCATTTGTGTGCACGCTCCTGAGTGTATGTGTATCTTTTTAACACACCCAGCCCCAATTTCCTTGCAAGCAGGAGGTGAAGCACTGGCTTTGCACCCTTCAGCTTAAAGGCATCATTATAAACACTCTATTAATAATTAATAATAGAGTAATAGCAGTGGCAGTTTGTTAACACGTGCATTAATCACTTAGAAGTTATTAATATGGACTTTAGTGCCCTCTGAAAGTTGGTTTAGCATTGTTTATTACGGGCATTGCGGGGCTGACGGTGGCGATGACCGGCTGATGGGCTGCAAATCTC